TTCCCCTTCTGGATATATGAGACGGCTGTTTGCCCATTCTTTTTAGATTAATCTGGGGGACATCTTTCCTGGGCACTATGCTTCAGTGTTATGACAATAACTTCCAATAAAGCCCACTCCCCCATGATCTTTTTGCCTGGATACAGTCTTTACCATGAGTAGAGCAGGCTGGGATTATTGGACCAAATAGACAAGACCCAAGGCTTTCAGCTTGGCAGTAACAGTGGTGGTGGTGAGGTAGCTAAGAGTTCTAAAAAGCCACTAAAGCTAAGGGCCCTAGTACCCAAAGCTCTGAGCTGTAACATTAGTAGGTAGTCAAAGAGTTCCAGAGAGCAACCCAGGGCAGAATCTGAGGTGCTAAGACTATGAAGGATGGCAGAGAAGCTGAGACTGCGGAAGATGAGTGGCTGTCAAGAGCCAAGGGTGGGAGCCCAAGCTACAAGGACTGAAAGCTCTGAATACAAGATGAGCTCCAGAGAGCTGCCAAGAGTTGAAGAGCCGAGGATCCTGATGCCACAGCACAGGGACCGTAACTCTAGCTGCTAGCCATTAGTCCTCTAAGCCCAGTACAATTAGCCTCTGTCTTGAGCACCTACAACAATAAACCTTTATGGAAGCTCAGAGCCATGCAACTCTAGTGTCTAGGCTTAGAGCCATATGCTTCTGGATGTGGGGTGTGGGAGCCCAGCTTGTAAATGGCTGAAATTCAGAGTTGTCAATGCTAATGGAGTTGTCCCTTATCCTTTATTTATCTATTCTGTCTGTTTGCACAAAGCAGACAAAGCACCTAGCCATCTGTGAGTGACAGTAGGATCACAGGTGTCTGGGGTCATCATCTTGGCTACTGAGTCATAATCTTCTATAGATGTTTCATGTTTCACAGCAACCTTTCCAATATCTAGACCTCACGACAAAGGTCTTCTTCTGCTTGGAGACATTAGTGCTCACTTCCAAACGTTGAACCTTTGAGCTCATAGAGGTGTGGTCTTACTCAGAAAACAAAAAGGTTTAGTGATGGTTGTGCATGACAGGTACCTGTAGTTCCATGGGAGACCACACGGAAGCATCCCTTTGTTCTCTTTTATACATCACCACTCCCTCTTCACTTTCTTTCTCTTTGTCTCCATTCTTATGTCTTTCTTCCCCAACCTCAAACTTTTTTTTTGGCTTATCATGACTACCTTTGTTCTCTTTCCTGTGCCACAGCCCAGATAATAAGGACATCAAGACTAGAATGCAAGAGCAGCTGAGACAGAATGTATGGAGTGGAGTGTACAGATATCAAGAGAAAGAGAATGGAAAAAAGTTCAGAGAACAACTGAGTTACATCAGTGATATACTCCAAGAGGAACACTTCACAAACTGGAGTTATTTATGATTTATTAAAGCTTGCCTGAGGATTCAGAAAGCAAAGTCAGCCACAAGCCATAGAAGCCAGGCACACACCTTTAATCCCAGCAGCCAGAAGCTAGGAGGTGGTGGTATACACCTGTAATCCTAGGACTCAGGATTAAGAGGTACACAGATCTCTCTGAGTTCAAGGCCACCCAGGGACACACGACATTGAATAAGTCTAAAGGAGTAACAGAGCTCACACCTTTAATCCCAGCACTAGAGGGGTATAAAAGATAGAAGCAGGGCCTTCAGCATTCAGTAGGAGGCATTCGTTCTCCAGCCATGCTGAGAAGAGGCAGCAGTTTGAGGCTTGGTGAAGAGCTCATGGATCAGCTCTTTCAGCCTGAGCTGAGGTGAGAGCTAGTGACTGGCTGTTTTGCTTTCCTGAACTTCAGCTTGAAGCTTGGACCCCAGTGTCAGTCTCTGGGTTTTTTATTATTTTGTGCTACAATAAACAGGATAACGATTTTCCACTAATGAAAAATAGTGTATACTTTTCAATGAATGCATATTAACTATTTTAAAGGGAAATCCATGGATGAAGAAATTTGTAAGATGTTGCTATTAGGTCCAAGGAGAATTCAAATCATATATATTTCAAGACCAGGGATGCTGAACATGAGGGACAGATGGAGGCAGAACTGGCCTTTTCCACAGAAGGGGAGGGAGTCACTTGCTTGGCAGAGTTTCTGCATGTATATGGGCAGAAATTATTTCACATTGCTATTAGTTATATATAATCCATAAATTATAAACTAGCTCAATAAAAGCCTAATTGAGAGGGGTGTGTCACAGACCATGCAGAGTTTCCCCCAAAGCACACATTTTCCATGAAATCCATCCTATGTCCCCTCTTGTCTGGATAATTAGTACTTATCCTTTATGGCTCATCTCATGCATGAAATGACCATATTTTCTAAGCATCCCAAAGCATCATGGAATACTTTTGTGAAACACAATGAAGAGAAATTGCAATAAAAATAACAAAAGATAAACAATATGCAAGCCTAGATCCTTGTCATCAGCTTGACAAATGCCAAGTTGCTTTGTCCAATTGCTGTAGAAGTTTCTAAAGTTGTTCTTATTTCTGTATTTACCTCCACTGTAACTTATGGTGAAGAGTACACACACACACACACACACACACACACACACACACACACACGAGTCCTGGAAATGCCACTTCCTGATGCCTGGCTCTATCCATTACTCCTAGTCTTAGTTCTACTCTTTAGCTTCCAGAAGATTCTATACTCTAATCCCCAACCCTTTCACCCCTAGTCTAGTCTAGGACAGTGGACTTCTATTATCAGCTTTTAAACTCTTATAATATATTGAGAAGGCCAAAAAATTCACTCTATTGGCGCCGGCAAAATAACTTATTAACAGTGGCTGGTCTTCCAGGGGGCCGGGGTTGCTTTCCAGTGCTGGTATATGGTGGCTCACAACTGTCTGTAACTCCAGTTCCAGGGTATCTGCTGCCTTCTTTTGACCTCTGCAGACATTGTATGCACATGGTGCTTAGACATACATGCAGGCAAAACAAATAAAATGAAAAAAGTTTTATATAACTATTAATATTTATCATATTAGAAATGACAGTCAAGAAAATATTGTAAGTTGACTTATAATTTCATTTAAAAAGAACTGATAAATCATTACAGTTGATGTATTTTTAATGAAAATAACTATTTTTTAAATTATAATCAAATAGTAAAAAGAGTGACATTATTTTGTGTGTATTAAAATCTGTTTGGTAGTGCTAGGTGGTGGTGGCACACACCTTTAATCCCAGCACTCGGGAGACAGAGGCAGGCAGATCTCTGAGTTCAAGGACAGTCCGGTCTACAAAGTGAGTTCTAGGACAGCCAGGGTTAAGACAGAGAAACTCTGTCTCAAAGCAAAACAAAACAAACAAAAAACCCAAACAAACAAAAAAACCCCACAAACTATTAAAAAACAAAACAAAATAAAACCAAAACCCCCTCTTTGGTATTTGATGTCTCTCCTTTAATATATATATTTTTACTTCCTTTTCCTGGAGGAGCTCAAGGCACCTGGATCCTATTTCTGCCTGCACACTCTTCCTACTGAATGCTGGCAGGTCACGTAAGCTCTGGGGAACTCCTTTGTGTAACAGTGTGAGAGAAGAGTGTGAAATGCATGAATAAATCAGGTCATTAGAAAAATAGTGACTGTACAGACTCTAGAATGGGCTTTGGGGATCTGTGGAGGGCTTGGGAGAGCACTGGTCAAGGGCAGCTTGCTCAATAACTCCTCATGCTGGTATGTAAACACTTAGGGTGACTACCTCCCCCTGTGTGTTTGGAACTGTCTCAGTTTTCTCACAGCACTGAGGACTGAACCTGAGGCCTCACCCTCACCAGGCAAGCACTCTAACCACTGAGCCATATCCCAGCTCCCAGCTGAGTTTTAACACCGATGTCCTGAATCCTCAGCAAACTTACTGCTGGTCATCTCACTTTCCATCTGAGCTGGGCATTCTGATGCTAACCTGTCCCTTCCCCTCTACGCCTGGTCCTCATTCTATTTCCTCCCTTTAATCCTTTCCCCAGACCCTTCAATGAACATGGGCAGAGGCAAGTACAGTTGTGGAGGCCCCTGGTGGAGACAGCTGGCTACCAACGTGTTCTTTCTCCTCCTCTCACAAGCTAACAGAGCTCTTCATTTTACTCTGTCAAAGCTGTATCCGCGGGGAAAAACAGCGTTTCCAGGCCTTATGCAAATTAGATGGGCATATGACAGTTTTGAGCAATAAGACATTGGAGAAATTTGTTGAGTGGGGTTTTTAAGGAACACTCATTTGAAACAAGGTGAGAAGGGGCTGGGGAGGTGGCTCTGTGGGTCACAGTGCTTTCTGTACAAGAATGAAGGATCAGAGTTTGGATTCCAGCACCCATGTAAAAAGCTGTGTGTGACTGTGTGTGTCTGAACTCCAGACTCTGTGGAGGACAGAGACAGGAGGATCACTGAGGCTTGCTGGCCATCGGATTAACTCTAGGTTAAGTGAGAGACTCAGGACCAAAGAAATAAGGTACAGAGTGACAGAGCAAGGTACTCCAAATCCTTGTCTGATCTCTGAGCTGGCACGGGTGTGTGTAATCACATATCTGTGTGCATACACCCACACAGACACACCCCACTTAAAACACTCTCACTAAAAAGCAACGGAGGACAGAAGGGCTTATTTGGTTCACAACCCTAGGTTGTAATTGATAAGGGAGGCCAAAGCAGGAACTTGTCACATTCACAGTCAAGAACAGTGATAGAGACAGTGTCCCCATGCTGCCTGCTTTGCATGCTTCTAGCTTTTGTCACTTTTATACAGCTCAGGGCCCAGTCCATGAAATGGTGCCACTCACATTCAGGGAGGGTCTTCCCACATCAGTGTACAACCAAGCCGTGTCCACAGGCCAGCCTGAGATCTAGACAATTCCTCATTAGGAGTCTGTTCCCACACGACTCCAGGTTGTGCCAGGTTGTCAGTTAAAATCAGCTGTCATAACACACACACACACACACACACACACACACACACACAGAGACAGAGGCACAGACACACATACACACACACACAGACACAGACACACACACACACACACACACACACACACAGAATAACAATGTGTAAGAGTAATGATTTATCTCTGGTGGAGTGCTTGCCACACAGCATGCAGGATGTCCTGGAATCAGTACCTGGACCACAGCAAACAAAACAAGAGTGGGTCCACAGCACACATGTTTCTTTGCCCTTTGCTCTTTTTTGTTTTGCTGTCTGGAGTTCACCTGGTGTAGACGGATTTTCAGAGTCACATTATAGACATGAGGACCAGAGCTAGACCTGGAGGGAAATAAGCCAGGCTGAGGCCGGAAAGGCGCTGGCTCCCAATGGCTTAGCAGGGCTGCCCAAAAGAGCCTTGAGTAAATTATTTCTAGATTTCTTCTGTAAGGAAATAGAGTTAAAAATCTCCATTATGCACTTCTTTCCAGACTTCCGTTGGCAAATTTCATTCATGATCAATGGAAAATGTGTTTCTTTATCCCATACAAAGTTTATGTAGAGAAGATGACAGGACATAAACAATCATGGGTTCATTTATGGCTGTTGTCTGGCTGCACTAAGAACTCATACATTCCCAGGAGGCAGGAGCCTCTGCAGAGGAATGATTCTTTCACCATGGGCTGGATTAAGGGACTGCCCATCTCTGCCCACGCTCTTAGAACTCAGAGAAACAGGGCAGCAGACCTGCAGGGGAGAGGTCTTCCATACGCTTTCTGTGAATTTCCACTTCATTGCCCAGACACCTGCACTGCCATAAGGGGTCTGGTGGTGAGGTCAGAGAACACTCTCAGCAGCATGTCGGAAGCGGCCCCCATAAATTGCTACTCACTGCGCATGTGTCTGCTAGTGGCTAGTGTTCAGGCTCTAGGGTAGAGGGCAAGGGCATTTTGTGGGAGTGTTGGCAGATCCATTGGCATACAGGCGACTGTCCTTACTCAGAGGCTAGTCTTGCGCGCTGGTCCCACTGTCTTCCTGGCCCAGGACAGAAAGTAAGTCTTCCAGTCTCCAGGCCTCTGAGTAGTGGACTCCTACGTCACTGCAAGGTCTCGTGTGGTGGGGAGTTCACTGTGATGATCACAGCTCTACAGACGGGCAAGGATGTCACTCTTGGACACCATGCTACACCTACATGCTGCCCTGATGGCTGAGGAATCTGCTATGAACTGCTGTGTGGGTACCTTCCCCTTTCAGTCCTTAGTCCAGTCTCCTCATTGCTACAGTGAAAACAAACATATGGGCTTAAAATTACATCAGCGTTAACATTAAAACAGTAAGGTTGGGGACACGGAGAAAGGTAATGGGGAGAACTTTGAACTTAGAGTGGGATAGCCAAGATGACTAGATAGCAGAGCTCTGGGAAAAACAATAAACTGCTCTCCACAAATTCTGTTAGGGTCTCAGAAAGCTCCAAGGGGCATGCGCAAGGTACTCTTTCCTTTAGTAAACATGTCAACTCCTCAAGTGGTTACACTTTGATACAAATGCTTACATCTAATGTATTCAGTAGTAGCAGATTAATTGTGGGTAAAGAAGGCTTGCGAAAAAGCCTCTGCCTATTCCAGGAAGGCGATGAGCCGCAGGGTGGGCAAAGGATGGTAGACTAAGTCCTTGAAGAACAGATGCCAGAGGCAGGCTGGGTTGGCCCTCCACTCTCGAGGTACCCTCTGCACTTGCATTCCCACCTGCTATAAGAAACCCTGACCATTTTCTTGCTCTACCTGTGCCTGGTATGAATTCTTCTCTGCCAGGAATGAGAGAACAGAGGTGCTGCCACAGTCAGGATCAGAGGGGATGTGGAAGGAGACATCTCCTTATCTACAATGTTGTGGTTGCAGGGGTAAGCTCTCTGAGACCACAACCTGCTCAGCAAACTCACTGCTGTTCTCGGAACCCTGGCCCGAGGTAGGTAAGAGCAGAGGGGTCTACTCACACTTCTTGTTTCTTCTCTTTGTCCACCATCATCAAGAATGCCCTGGTGCTTGTTCATGCATGGATGTATACTGCAGTTGAGGGCCGTGGAGATGTTTGCTGTCCTCCAGTGCTCCAGGTCCAGCCAGACTCTTGGGTCAACTCTTATGTGGCTGCTACTTCCGCAAATCTATTTCTTCTAAAGTCTCCTTTTTAAGAGCTCCTGGAGTGTGGTCTTATTTTACTCTCCTATTGAGTATCCACATTCCCTTTTATTTATTTATTTATTTATTTTCCTTCAGGGCCCTACCGGATTCTGGTATCCTGCAACGTATACAAGAAAGCACTTTTATTCTCTTATCGTATATGATAAATGAGTACTTCGCAAGGTTCGTCACTTGTAAAGAGTCAAGAATCTTCTGTGTGTATGTGGTTGCACATTTGGATATATGTGTATGTACGCTTGTATGTTCATGTGCACATCTGTGGGAGAAGGAGGCTGGATGAGAGCCCAAGCATTCAGAACAATGATGTTGGTAAGGATGGTACAGTGGAGCCTTTCAGAGATGCTGCAGATATAAAGGCTCTGCGTCAGCCTGCTGGGACCTGCCCCAGCTATAAGGGGTGGGAGGTGGAAGGCGCTAGGCGCTGTGCTCTAGGTGTCCCTGCAGAGTCAAAAGCCACTAATGGAAGTAACCACCAGGGCATGATTTTTCATGCCCTGATTCCAATCACAGACCTGCCATCCAAAAAGAATATTGAAGGGGAAATCCCATTTCCTTTTAAACCAAATGTTCCCCACAGAAGCCAAAGCCTGTGGAAACAAAGCTGATTGGAAAAACTGAGTCTACATTGTTCTGACTCTTCCAGTGAGAGGTGGCAACACTCATTTACTGAGAGCCAGCTTTGCCAAGAGGAGGATCTGCCCATGCACAGCAATGACCTTTCATGATCTCTTGGACCAGACACTCAGCTCACAAAGAGAACATGTGGCCCATCTGGTCTTTGTGAGCAGACGGATGTGGGTCCTGGCTGGTGATAACCCTGTCATATGTACTGACTGTGGTGAGGTGGAGACATCGCATAGCAGGGGCTTGCATGGGAAACTTCTTAGCAGACAAAGACAGCTACAGGGACAACCATCTAAGTACTCCACAAAGAGACAGGCAGTGCAGGTCTCCTCTCTGGCTTGTCACATGTCACTTGAGACCACTGCTAGTCAAGAGCTATAACACGCGTATGTACTAATTCTAAGATTCCTCACTACAACCCAGAGATGTGGGTCTAATAGAGTCTTCATCTTCCACTGCTGGAAACTGAGGCTTGGAGAAGGTGGGTAAGCCAAGGCTGGTCAGGGTCTGAGCTTTGTGTCACCTCTTATGCCAACCATACACAACTCTCTACTCGGGTTTAGCCTTGCCTAACCTATGACTTCTAGGTTATGTACATCTGAGGATAGCTATGAACATGAGTGATGTTGCGTTGTCAAAGGTTGGACCTATCTGGTTTATGACAACCTCCTGGATAGGGTGTTATAGAGACCCAACAGGTCCCATGGTGTAGGTGAAATTTGTTCACCTGGATACCCTGAATGTGTCTCAAGCTGTTGGTTGAAAGTATCTATAACAGGAAACCACAGTCACATGTCAGACTTTGGGACAAGGCTAACTTCCTGCGTTATTCCAGACTACAGGAGGCATGGGGGATGGGGGGAAGGGGGGCTAGGGAGGCAGGGGATGAGGGGGTGTCCAATTCCTAGCACGATGTTTTCAAATATTTTTGTTTCATTTTATTTTAAATATATTTAGATTAAAATACATTTTGGTTTTTATATATTTAATATTAATGAATATGTAAATACATTTAAATAAAAAAGAAAAATTTGAAAATTTGAGTCTAGGCCTCTTGTAGCCTAAGGTGGCCTCAGAGACTGGCCCTGAGCTCCCGATCCTCTTGCCTCTGCCTCCTGAGCACTGGGATTATTGGCATGCACCACCACACACCAGTCACCTTGCTCTTTGTGAATTATAAGCACTACTGCATGCTCTGAGTAGAATGTTTGAGAAATGCATACAGAATATAAAAGGAATATCACATAATGCCACCAAAGATGTGTTTCTTCCTCTATAAATGTCTGTGCATGTGTATGTGGTATGTGCACATACATACATATGTGTGAGTGTGTACACGAGAGTGCTGCACATGGGGAATGTATAACATTTGTTCTCCAAACCACAGTTGTTTGGTGGTTGTACATTGCTCAACCTTATGTGGATACAACATGCTTTATCCACTTGCTTTGTAGTATATTGGCCCCGTGTGTGATGATTTCCTTAGAATGAATGTTTGGAAGTCAAGTTCTGGAAATAAAAGCAAAGGCCACCACTTATCTCCTCAACATGCATTGTTAAATCAGCAGCTCGGCTTTGAGAGGCTTTGCTGCAATTTTATATGGTCAGGGTGAGTGGCGGGTCTGGATGACAGTTCCCTTGAGGAAGTGTTGAAAGTGGGAGCTCTTTCTTCTGCAAAGGGGGGCCTGTGAGCAGAGCAGCTGTCTTCCCGTTTGAAGAACTCTCTTGTGAGGAAGAGAGTGGAATTTTTACAGATTCCTCCATACGGTGAAAGAGCACTTGGGAGAGTGGGAGACGCTAATTCGAAGAGTAGAGTCTAACTTAACATAAGGAACAGTTTTTTTGTGTGTGTATTTATTTTTAAAAGGAGCCAAGTTTAGTGTTTAACCAAGTTTAGACAGAGGGGTTGTCTCAACATTGCATGATGAAATGCTTAGTTGTTTGGATAGCAAGGCTGATGTGGCATTTATAGAGCATGCTGTCTAGGGGTATGTGCTTTACTGAAATATGCATGTAGTTGGTGTGTGTACAGGTCATATAATAGGATCTTACATAAGAAAAAGGGCTGAGGAGATGGTTCACTGGATACAGTATTTGCCCAGAATGTGTGATAACAGGAATACCTACATTCAAAAAACAAAACAAATAAACAAACAAACAAAACCTGAGTTCTAACTATTCAGCATCAGAATGTCTCCCTATTCCCTGGGCCAATTTCCATGGAGATGAAATCAGGAGGCCAAGGATGACCTATCAAGAATGTGATCTTTAGCTGGGTCTTTTGCAGCTGCTGCTAGCTGGAGCTCTTGACTCCAAATTGCTACTCAGGCCATAGGATATGGAGAATGGGGGGGCTGGGATAGCTCCAGAGTGGAGCCTGAGCAGGATCAGACTGTAAGTGCAGAAGAAAGAAGGTACATGGCTTCTTCCTGGGCTGACAAAGTCTCAGGGGAGGGGCTGTCCCTACCTGTACCTGGTCTCCAGGTGGATGATTATGGCCCTCTGCTGCCTCAGATCCCCCACAAACACGTTCCTCATGTCTTTATTTTGCTAGAGAGCATCTGTATTCTAACATAGGACAAACATTTCCTGTTTTTATGCATCATCTTAGGCACCACAGTACCAGGTTCTAGCTAGTTTTTCTTTAGCCATTCCTAGTATGCCCTTCCCGAAGGCAGATGGTTCTAGCGGCCCATGAGGAAGTATTATGATTTTCACCTCCTCCACAATCGGGCTGAGTAGACTTGCCTGTGGCTCCTACCTAGAAGTTGTACCTGGAATTCAGATGTGGGCAGGTGACTTGACCCATCTGAATGGGCTCAAAGCAGGAAGTGTCCCATAGGCATGTTAAGCCCCTCTGGAAACAACATCTTTCTTAGTCAAGTCACTGTCCACCAGGACTAGTGTCACTCCTGTCTTGGTAAGTACTCAATAAAAAGCCATTGAGAGGATCACTAAAGCCCAGTCCTAAAAAGACAGCAGGGGTCACTGGGCTGGACTGTGAGGTCCCAGGAAAAGCACAACTGTAGAAACAGGAAATGGCCTGGCCTGGAGGTTGGAATGGGACAGGATTGACAATGAGGCAAATAGAGAAGATGGTAAAACATCCAAGCACTGGAGAGACAGGCATGGGCAGGACAGAAACTCAAACACATTGGAGTTCTACTCACTGCACAGTTTCTGGACTGAATGGTGGTGATGAAGGATTCACGTGGTCTCCTGCTTGTGGATGCTTTCATCACAGCTTCTGAAACAGCAGCCCCCTCTGGCTTCTCCCTTACTGTTTTAGTTATCCTTCTGCCTTCCTTGCAGGTTCTCAGAATGTCTCTTACAGGGTCCCTCCTGTCCTCTTTGTAAACACTCTCTCAGAGTGAGCCCATCTCCGTCTTTGACTCTAGGTGTCAGCTCTGTCTGAGAGCTGTGTGTCGCTGACCTTGATCTTGACTGTATGCATGGGTTGCTGATCTGCATGCTGGTCACTTCCTATGGATTACCAATGGACAATTGCACTGTGACTTATCTAACAGAAAACACCTTCCCTTTTAGTCCTACCCATAATGCCTCTTTTTTTTAAACGATTTATCTATCTCAGGAAATAACACAAAAATCCGGCTAGTCAAGGCTAGGGGATCTAGCTCTCAGTGTTGTGGGTGTAGCTGAGAGGGTAGAGAGATGGCCTAACAGACAAGAGCTGCTCACCTGTGTGTACCCTCCCCTCACCTGTGTGACATCAAGAACAATAGTCTCCTTAGATTTCATGCCCTGGTGGTTAGCTTATCTCCTTGTCCCTTCCACATTAACTAGGTTGCCCTAGCAAAGTGCCTTAGAAGTATATTTTATTTCTCCTATTTTTTTCTTTGCTGCCTGTATGCAATCCTTCAGGAAGACATGTTGAATCTGTCTCTAAATCTTTGCAAACACATCCATTCCTCTCCACTACTGTTCTTCCATCATCTGTCCCCTGGACCACTCCATGGGCTGCCCTAATGGCATCCTTGCCCTCCTCCAACCTATTCTCCACACAGCAGCCAGAAATTCCATTTTTATTTTTTGTAAAAGGAACACACGGACATAGTTTAGAAAGACAAATGGTTCTATGCAGCTCAGAATGAAAGCAGTAGGCACCCGGCCCATCCCTCCTCAGTGGTGATTCACACCTCCCGGAGGTGAACACATTCAACATGTGGGCAATTTCCACCATCCTCACACTGCTAACATTTGATTTTTAGGCTCTTAGTTATTTCCTACAGAGTTGCAGCCACAGGGTGAGATTTATTCTTTTGTCATCATGCCGTCACCCAGACATCTCCCACTAACATCTCTTCAATACACTCATGCCAAAGTCAGATTAAGCCACCAGTCCTAGGTCAGTTGCTAGCTGGTGCAGTACGGGAGGGGCCCAGAACTGAAACAGACTTTCTGGAGGGAGGTTTAAGAGTCGGGAAGTAAACGAAACAGGACTCTTCCTCAAGGTCAGAGAAGAGATAACAGTAGCTGGGGAGAGGAGACTTTCTGACCTGTCAAGCTTCCTGGAAGCTCTCCGGGGACATGGCTACTGTGAGCAGTCTCCTTTAGGCATCTTGGGCCTTTTGGTGATGTGCTTGCCTTTGGAGTCATCTGGACTCCTGCAATTAAGCCCCCATACTCCTGTCACTCTCTGTGTCACTTTGATAGTTTGAATGTAATTGGCTCCCATAAGCTGACAGGGAGTGGCACTATTAGGAGGTGTGACTTTGTTGGAGTAGGCATGGCCTTGTTGGAGGAAGTGTGTCACTGTGGGGGTGGGCTTTGAGGTTTTCTATGCTCAAGTTACTGTCCAGTGTCTGAGTCCACTTCTTGTTGTCTGTAAGATGTAGAGCTCTCAGCTACCTCTCCAGCACCGTGTCTGTCTACATATCATGCCACTATGTCCCACCATGTTGATAATGGACTGAGCCACTGAAACTGTAAGTTGCCACCTCAATTAAATGTTTTTTTTTTTTGTAAGAGACGTGATGGTCATGGTGTCTCTTCACAACAATGGAACCCTAACTAAGTTAGTTTTAGGTAGAATCATTTCTTTGGTCTGCCATTGGGGTCTTATCTAGGGTGAACAGATATTTGTTTAAATCTTCCAAGGAAAAGTTTTATGGGGCCAGGAAGGGCGTGAGTACCTTTTTGTCTCTTAATCCGGCTTTCACCCCTTCTCCTACTCCACTGTGTCCTAGACCATCGACTATTTTACACTGTTATGATACTAGGTTCTGCAGTAGAATCCAGATTCCTTCCTAGGTCCTCTCCCTTTAGAGAGAAATTGTTCGTTATTGGCTGATCTGCCAGTGTGGCTGTCCCTTGTCTATCTATAGCATGCTTGGTTGCATCTTATCCACCACCGTCCTCCTTGGTTATCTTTGTCTCTATAATGCACCCTTGAACTCCTATCCTAATCTTCCTGTCCCCACCTTCTGAATATTGCTGATAGGGCAAAATTGACCTGGGAGAATGACAGTAATAGATTTATACACCTGTTCAGCATTAAGAATAATTTCTTTTTATATGGAGCTATTTTCTACCAAAGCTCCTGGTCAATTGACCAAAGACTTGCATACTCATTTATCTCTTCGTTAAACCTCATGTATCTCCCTGTAGCCACCCTTTGATGATTCCTTTATCAGCAGCCATCAGGGCCAAGCCGGCTGTGCAAGTCATTTTTCTTCCTTGGCATCGGGAGTAGCCACAGGATTAAGTATTGGTGTGGGAGGACTTATTACCTCTCTTTCCCAGTATCAGAGCGTGTCTAAGGGTTCTTTTTGATAGCCCAGACAAGATTGCACAGAATATTGTTGCACTCCAGGGCCAGATAGATTA